ACTTGAGCTAAAGCTCAGGTGACCTAAAAATCAATGAAAAGGCTTTTGTTCAACTTGAACAGTGTATGTGTGCAGCTTGGGTTGTGTTTTGTATTGAGGTCACATTCCACTATAGTGCTGCAGTATAGTAAAACTTAACAGCAACATTGACCTGATCGGTTGAGTAGCGGTTTGTTGGATTTACTTTCGCTGTACATGTCAAATGTCTCAGTGTTAATATAAACCTACAACAGTATGTACTACATCGTCCACTGGATTTAGTTTTCCATTTGTTTGTAAACATTTTCCATGCAGTAGTTGATCAAGAGACCAATCTAGGGGGGGGGGCATTGTTTTTACAAAAGTCTGTTCCTATACTACTTGAATTGGGAAAATGTATTATTTTTACCGAAACTGGAGAGATATTCTTCAATTTTTCTTCATTTTGGGAAAATAAGCATTTTTGAGGAAGCAGTCTGTATTCAGATGTAAAATCAGGGGGGGGGGGGAAAGTCACTGGGGTTATTTTCTAATTCGAAGAAAATGTGGTACTTATTGAAAATTTCCAGTCTGGGGGCTTTTCTGAAGCAATGAAAACTCATCTACATTCACCAGATTGAACAGAATCATTTCCTTGTGAGCTGAATCAAGACACATTTGGACAGCCTTGCCAATAAATTAATACACAGTGTATCTGTTTTTTATCAAATCTATATAGCCATAATTTGTATCAATCATGAATGTGAAATGCACAAGGGTCTTTACATAAACTGGTGTTATCAACTGAAGTCTGTGAATGAAAATCAAAATCGGAGTAAAATGACAGCAGATGCTGCCTTATAATTACTGTGTCTTACAAGTAATAAGCAACCCATGTTAGTTTTAACTATAAGCTCACCAGGCCACTTCAGAATATTTAACAACAACGTTGTTTCTAGAGGTGTCACGATTCACCGCGATGCACTTGTACCGCGATTATTTATGTTCGATTCGATTCACAATATTTTTTTCCAGATTTTCGATACGTCACGATTTGAATATAAGTGTATGCCGCTTCAGCCAAAACGTCTGTGAGACGTTCATTTCCATTGGCTGATCTCTAAACCCTCAACCAATCGGCTGTGAGGATGCAATTTTCACAAAGCATTCATAACAAAATGGCGGACCGCTGTAAGGAAATGAAAATGTGTGATGCTCCGGCGAGCTTTAAATCAAAAGTGTGGAAACACTGCGGATTTCCGTGTATCGACGGCTTATATATATATATATCTCATTTTGTTTATATCTGAAATAAGGGTGTTTCGAATCAAAATAATCGAATCGTGGTAAAAATATCAAGATACGTATCGAATCGTGGGTAAAGTGTATCGTGACAGCTCTAGTTGTTTCTGAGGTAAAAGTTTGAAAAACTTTTGGAAAAAATTTGCTGAATTTCAACTACTTCATAAAAGGGATACAGTACATATCTACAACTAGTAACCTCTTGTCAGACATGCAGTCTAGAATTGCATACCAGTGTTTTTTGCTTATTGTTGTGTGCAACTGTCAGATTTATGGTTTTATCTGGAAATACTCATACCTGCCTGCCTCCATCCCCCTCTCAGGTTAAATTTGGAGAAAAATTATTGCTAAAATGACATATTAAAATATAAGGTCATGTCTGGAAACTGGATAAAAATCAGTGCAAAGACACATGATCATGAGAGCACGAAAAATCTAAGGCCCTATGTCTGTTCCACGATCAGAAATTTGGTCAGTGGGCTAGATGCTTAATATTGCTAGCTCATACATACATGTGCAAATCATAACTATTACCAAACGAATTCATGACAGTTTTTGACAACTGACAGGAAAAAAATCTTGAAAAGAATACACAGGTTTAAATAATATAAAAGTTCTAGCATCATGGGAATGTTTCAAAAGTACTTCTGAAAATTTTGACCTGCAATCTATAACTGATCTGATCAGCAGTCAATAATTTTGTTATCGATCATTACCTGTGTGTAGCACATTAACTCATTCACCCCTGAAGTTTCATAATGTACTATTCCAACCTTTGAATTGGAAGAGTTCAAATGTGTCTTCAGGGGTGAATGAGTTAAAAGCAAACATGATGTAAACATGCAGCATTATTGATCATGTCACGATCATGAACTGGCCAAAGGGCAATCAAATGTTTACCACTAGAATACACAGGTAAACCACAGGTTTAGGTCAACACAAAAAATACACAGGTTTAGGTAAACACAAAGAATACATATATAGGTTCAGGTAAACACAAAGAATACATAGGTTCAGGTAAACACAAAGAATAAACAGGTTTAGGTAAACACAAAGAATACACAGGTTCAGGTAAACACAAAGAATACACAGGTTCAGGTAAACACAAAGAATACACAGGTTAAGGTAATTGGGTAAACACAAAGAATACACAGGTTCAGGTAAACACAAAGAATACACAGGTTCAGGTAAACACAAAGAATAGACAGGTTAAGGTAAACACATCAAATACACAGGTTAAGGCAAATAAATATAAAGAATACACAGGTTTAGGTAAACACAAAGAATACACAGGTTTATATAGGTTTATAACACAAAAATAAACAGGTTAAGGTAAACACAAAGAATACACAGGTTCAGGTAAACACATCAAATACACAGGTTTAGGTTTACACAAAGAATACACAGTTTCAGGTAAACACAAAGATACACACAGGTTTAAATAAATATAAAGAATACACAGGTTTAGGTTAACACAAATAATATACAGTTTCAGGTAAACACAAAGAATACACAAGTTAAGATACAGAAAGAAGACACAGGTTCAGGTGAACACATGTACACCTGTCATTAATTTACAGGTAAATTATATTAAGGTATCTTCCTACCCTTAGTTTTGCATGAAAAGTAGGCTAATATATATACATGTCTACTTATAATCAAGCAAAACAATATTGTATACACAAGTAGTGAGCTACAATGTCTGGTTTTGACTGATAGATATATATATATACAAAGGGTGACCAACGGATTCTTGACGTATATATATATCTACCTCATGTCTGTACTAAAGGAGGTTAAACCAGTTAGCTAAGACATGGATGATTTCACCAACATAGATCACGAAATCTACACCACAATGCTGACACATACAACTACTACACAGGGTTACAGTGATACACTTGCCCACATGTACTGGCTCAGATGTGATGATGACCTCATACAGGTACCAACACTACACTGAGTAGGCTCGACATATTATACTACGTTTCAACCAGTTTGATCCCAGATTCTTATAATTATATATAAGCACCCCATTCCACTTCTTGCCCCTATGAATATTTCAGCAATAAATTCTTCTTCAACAAAGAAATACTTCGGACCAAGATATAGAGGTCTTTTACCCATCTTTTGCTGAAATACATACATTTTTCAAATTCATATTAAATGTTCCAATGCACCTTAAGTGTTGAATAATTTTTCAGTCTAGATGATTTTTAAAACCAATGCTTTATTATAATGAATGATACATGTTTAACACTGTGCATTTGGCATCACTGTCATTATCTGTACATGTGTCCCCAGCAATTATTACATTTCATTGATCATATACACTAACAAAAGAAGCTTCATTGAGATGTTGCGTTTTGTTACAATATATAGTAACTTTTTATGTGTAACAATCTGTAAAATGTTAAAAGTGCCAGTGACATCAGAATGTTGTTTGAATACTGGTGTAAAAGTATTTTTCATAGTACGAGTCCAGTGCATTTTCAGTGTACAAACAAACAAGTGCAATCTGGGAAAATAACAAAAACAAATCCTGCCTAACAATATGGGGACCATCAGCACTCTTTTGCTTGATGCGAAGAAGGAAATGTCCAAATATATTGAACCAGACGTCATAACCATAGACCTAGGTTCTAGCACTCATAGGGAATATGTAAAGTAAATGGGAATATTTCTTCACATCTTGCATAATATATCAATATTGTCAGGGTCTCCATAGAATTTTTCAGAGGAAAACAGCTATTATTTTGATTGACACACATGATTTCACAAATATCATGCCCATGGATATTCAAAATATTCCAATCATATATATGTGTATGTATTTTGTAAAATAATTTGACATTTGTACAAAAATCACTGACCATAAACCAGACATATTTCAATCAACAAATTGGTAATAATATTGTAAGTGCATTTTTTTCATACATCGGGCACTTATAAGGTTAAATATTGTCATAACGGAGAGCGATACCTCAATTTTATTATCATATTTCTTACCATCACTTCCTATTGGTACAATTCTGCAAATAATTCAAAGTCACGCCAGGTAAATGGTAAAATGATAATTACTGTAGATAAAAAACTTTTAATATGTCAACACACAACAATTGTTGAATGAGTCTGGTGTTCAGTCATGCCGCAGGCTTAGACAGCAGCACTTATAAATGTGAAAAAATACTATGTCCCTTATTTGCTATTCAAATAATCCAATTGAAACGCACTTAAATTTAAAGCAGAATATTGCAGATTGTCTGTAGAAATAATGTATTGATCATCATTACTGTCGAGGTGACAGTTGAGATATGAGTCATTGTTGACAAGAGTAAATAATATATCCCCAGGTTGAAATCATAATACCGTGGTAAATATGGTACTTGGTAAAACTGAACTATAGTCGTCAACGTAAGGACTACAGTAGTCTTACGACATAACACATTATTACTGCTGTGGCTGAGACAAAAATACGATTGATATTAATTTATGTTGGTGTTGCATTGCTTTCAGATGACGACAAATTCGCCATTTGAAATAAAACCCTATGTTTTTAAGGCTGTTTTATGTAACACAAAAACCAACGACTTAAATTGGTCAGATTCCATGCAAAGAATTAAATAATTCCTTTTGTTATTGCACAGAAGCGGAAGCTGGGAACATGATTCGGAGTGAAATCGGTCTGCTGTGAAGAGGCTAAAAACATGAAAATTAGGAAGCTGATATTTCATTCTTACCCTCCGATAACTCCAAATTAAGCTCCGCAAGCTTTCGTCTTACATCTTCTGGGAGCTGCGATACATCCACGTTTATATCCGCCATGATATTTTATAGTGTGCATACAAAATATCCTTCTGTCAATCCATTTCACTACCAATGAATGTTCGCCATTTTGTTTAGAACACTTTACCACACCTCGTCTCGCGAGATTTGAGGACTACAGGAAGTTGGGGAGTTGCCGCGCAATAATCACCAGACAACTTGACGAAACAAACACGTATTGTCGTTTAACTCAGACTTTTAGAGCTGTTAAAATGCAGCCATTCTATCTTCCCTTTTTCAAAGGGAACGATAGTTTGAATGGATTCGACGAAGAGGTAAGAATCGGTCCCAGATACAGACAAAAACACAGCACTCGCGACCGAGCTCCATCTATTTGCTTCTCATATGTCCTATTATTTCCTCACCATCAGGCTTTATTCGCCAGTTAAGTGCGATAGTTAAATACTGTCGCCAATGGATCATTTTGGTACCGGGCCCTGGACATTTTGGTAGACTACTATATTAGGACGTTTCGAAACATTTGGAATACTGGATGTTGCTTTCTGAAACACTTTAGGTACAGTACCTGTTCTATAAAATTTCCTTTCAGCATCTCACGTTACAGTTGAGAGTATAACAGAAAATAATGAATACTGTCCTGCACAGGTACCACCGGAATTCGGGACGTTTCGTACCATAAAATAGGATTGCTCGGCACTTTTTGTTAAGATAAAGTCTGCCATAACCTATTAATATATAAACTTCATCACTTTGGGATCAAGGGGAAAGTAAACACATGGATTAAAAACTTCTTGACCAATATAGGACACAATTATATTATAAGCAGTCGTACTCAAAAGCGAACTATCTATATATGTACCAGTCGAACCAGGGGTCAGTCCTCTGCCCGAATTTATTTTTGTAAGTATATAAATGACATGCCCCTGGGTCTCTCCTCCTCGGTCAGATTATTTGCTGACGATACAATTATATACAAAGCTGTCACCTCCAGTGAGGATGCCACAATACTGCAGAGGGATTAAGATAAGCTCGCAGTTTGGGAAAAAAGATGGAGAATGGAATTCCAACCCCCAAAAATGTAACATTTTATCCATTTCGAAAAAAAATAAAAATTCAATAAACTATAACTATTTTCTTCATGGTCTTTGTCTAGAGCATACTGATAAAGCAAAATATTTGGGTGTAACATTGAAAAAATATCTGAAATGCGATTATCACCTTACTTATATTAGTGTTGTTCCGATTAATCGATTTAGTCGACGTCTGGTTATTTGTTTCTGAAAATCGATTAATTGATCCTTAATTGTTTTCCATGATCGATTATAATTTGACTAATTTAAGTATTAACAAAAAATAAACTCGGAAGGTATTGTTTGTCCTTAGCTGGATATAAATAAAAACCCTTTGTCGAAACTGTTGACTATCTTACAAATAAAATGTTGAGTTTGACAGGGTGTCATCAGGTGAATGCCAATCCATCGCAGCATTTCTGAATACGAGATGCAGCTGTCGCAGCATAATTGACATTGCAAACATTATCAATTTCATTTCCAAATACATATTTTTCAATAATTATAAGGTTCTGTCAACAACCTCGTTGTTTTTATTTGTATGAATGTTGTGTGTTATTAGTGAAATTCTCTAAAGTCGGGGTTTCCCCGTTAACGAAAGTGAAAGTAGATTTCCGAAAGCGAATATAACCTTAAATTACTGAATTTAAGTTCAATTTGATCGATCATTAGTAGATCATCAGTCTAACTAGTAATATTAAAACCTAGCCTCTTCAACCTGACGAAGCAATATTTAAAAAAAAATCATTAAAATGTAAAAAGCTACCATTTTGACGCCTGTGACGTAATGTACTTGTCCTAGACGTGACATCTCAATAGAAACAATTGAAGCTTACAACCAATCACAGGGCTGAGAGGTCATATTACGTGGGTCAATACGCAAAAAAATATGACATGGGTATATTCACTGGATAACACAGTACATTATGTGATAAACTAAAATACTTTGTTAATGTGGTGGTGTATATTGATATTTACAGGACCATGAAGAGTTTGCAGAACGCCTTAGAAAAACCTTGTACTATGGGAAGACACCATCCACTGACCGCCCCTCACTTCCTCTCACTGGTTTGTATACATCATACCAGAGATTTAGGGAAATTTAATGTGTACCTGTCATCGAAATGTGTGATATCAACCTCTATTACTGTTGCTATTGAAAAAAATGGGGGGGGGGGGACGTAAGTGGTTTCAGATTGATCTTTACTGTATACATGGGTGGCTATTATGATTTGTAAAATGTGTTTGGTTAACGATTGGGCAGATTTGACTATATATGATAAGAATTTATAACGATTTATTTTTAAAAAGGGAAGAAACTGGTAAAAATAACAGGAATACCCTGTGCCATCAAAGGGGGAAAATAATGGTAAAAGTAGATCTTGTAACAATACCTAGATATTAGAAGTCAACAGAAATATTTGTTTTAATAACCATCTATTGCAAGCTAAAATCAGAAGTCTTGGTAATTGTCAGTTTTATTATGAAAAATATAAAGAGTTTTAGATAATGTATAACTAATTTGCAGAAATATGCATACATTTGTTGAGCCGATCCATACAATGGTGAAATAGAAACATGTTTGGTGAAATGCTATGCCATTGCGAAAATGTCTTTAAATCTGTAACATCCTCAGTGCATGTATGATTATTATCCTTGATTAATTATTATTCAAAGTCGAATTGATCCTGTTTAATATCAAAGTGAAGAAAAAAAAATTCAAGAGACTCAAAATAATTATAAAAGTTGTCAAACATTTATGTATTTGAATATAATTTCCAAATTCTGCCAGGGCCTGTATTCATGAAACCGTTTTCATGCTCAAGTTTCTATTAACTCGCTTAAATCATGTCACAACGATCAAAAAGTCAAATGTAAACATTGGGCTTGAATTCTCTTCAATTTGTTTCCAAATCATTGACACACAAAGAGATAAAGGACTATGTATGGTTTGGGCCTGGTTTGCCCCCCCCCCCCCCCAAAAAAAAAATGCATCAAAATTCAAAACCTTGAAATGAACTTTGAAATGACTGTTTCTTTAGTTTCGAATACTTCCAAAATACTATTATGAAAATATATATTTATATATCTAATTATTGTTGCCATGGTAACAAGTTCAAATTTGCATAAATTAGAATAAAATGAATATTCAGTGAATATTGTGATATTTTGCACAGTTTTTCTCCTAGAAAGTATGTAATTTGATACATCTTTAGGAGAAATATAAAGTTTGTTCAAGAGTGCGCTCTATGGTAACTAAGAGAAGAACTAGATGAAAACCTGTCATAATTGACTGAATAATCAAATTTCAATATTTTATGCAAATATGACCTGGTTACCATGGCAGCCAAAATTGAAAACACAAATAAGTGTTAGCATAATAGTACTGGGGAAGTATTCAAAATTAAAAACAACAACATTCGTTTGAAAGTTATATTGCAGATTTTTGATTTTGATGGATTTGGGGGCCAAAAAAGTCCCAAACCATGCATAGTCCTTTATAACAGGAACAAGGAATAAGGCTTGAGCACAAAATCTGTGCTTGAGCACAAAATCCGTGCTTGAGCTTGAGGATTGTTTCATGACCCTGATAATCACTAGATACTGTGGTATTGACAAACATAAAAATATTGATTTTGAATAAGGCAAATGGATTTAAAGAAGGCTTTTGTTTCTTTCAGAAATAGCTGTTGAATATTTACAAGAAGCATGTCCAAGGCAACTAGGCAAGCTGGATATTTTCTCTGCAGCAACCACTTCAAGGTTTGTAACTGGTGTCAGCAGGGAAAATCCTGGAATTTTGAGAGCATTGGGCCATTTTAGCAGTTTTTAGTCGATATCAAAATAAAAAGAGGGGCCATTCTATGTAAAATTGTAAGAAAATTTGAACATGAAGGGGTCAATTTCAGTTTTGAGGGGTCAATGGGCCCATGGCCCGCCCCTCCCCTCCAGGTTTCAATCCTAATATTAATAACTTAGCGGTGATAAAAAATGAAACTTTTAATTTTCCCAGTTATTACTTTCTGCCATCCTTTTGGTTGTAACATCTGACTGCTGTATAACAGAGTTAGATTAAATCTGTGGTTGTACCAGTCAAACAGTATATCTATAAGGAACGCTTAATTTTCCTGGTAAATTCGTCAGAAAAAAATGACATAATTCTAAATCTTTTCAATAGAATGAAGTGATTTTTCTTCCTCATTTCCACAGGCAGTCTGTATCTTGTGATTTTGGGAAAATATTCATAAAAAGCATGATTTTGGGAAAATAAAAAAGTACTTTTTTTTGCAATGATACGAGGTAAATACAAATTCACCCTGAAAAATCACTGAAATGGGTTAGTGTACCAGGTTATGTGTTCAGCATCTACCTGCTTACGGTGAATATTTGTTGTTCTTTGTTACAGACAAGCTTGTATGTCACCTTGTTCTGTAATGATGAGCATGCTGTATGTCAAACGTTTAAAGACCAGGAACCCTGCCTACCTACAACAGATCTCCTCTGCCGACCTATTCCTGATTTCCGTGGTAAGATAAACCTGTCTACATGAAACGTCAGTGAGACCAGTAAGCCAGACGTCACGGGTTCGACTCCTGGCGGTGACATTGAAAAAATAATGACCTCTGTTACAATAGCAATTTGAATAGAAGTTTCAACTGGCCTTTAATGAAAATGGTAGCCTATATATTCCATCATATTAAAGTAGAAAGTAATTGTATGCTGGGAAACAAGGCTGAAAACTAAATTTGAGTCGGCTTGAAGTTTATAAAGATAAATGTACCAAAGTTTTTCTATTTCATTACTGTTATACAGATGATGGCTTCCAAATTTTTGTACGATGAAGGAATTGATGATGAGGTTTTCAACGACGAGTGGGCAGCATCTGCAGACCTAGAAACGGAAGAAGTTAACGAAATGGAGCTGCAATTCCTGTCAGCAATTGTAGGTGGAAACAGTAAAAGTTTGAGACTAATAGAATCCTTCACCCCATTGGAACGAGCTAGGCGAATCTCAACCCAAGAGTGAAGATGATTAAGTTGCCAAACCCGAGTATTTGGTAACCAAACAATTTTTCCCCGAGGGTTGAGATTCCCAAACTCGCCACAAGAGGGTGATTGATTCTTTTTCTCTTACATCTTGTATCATATACATCATCATTTCTAAAGCCATATACTGAAATAGTGAGAAAAAGCTCTGAGCATGGCTGGACTTTATACATCATATGTATCATATACATCGTGTAATGTTAACGTTACATTGATGCATTGTTGATGTAACGTCATACAATTGTTATGAATAGGGGAATCTCTCCCCACCCCCCATCTCAACCCTAGGGTAAGACAAGGATATCTCGCACAGGGAACGTATGTGATATTATTCTGGAAATTTCCAAAGTTCCAAATTGTTACCATGAAGCATTTTTTCGTCATTTTTAAAGCCATATGCTGAAATAATGAGATAAATCTCTGAGCATGGCTGGACTTAACATTTTAAGTCCTTTCTATCTTGAATTTTTCAAATGTTCAATACTTAGATTTACATGTGTTTTGGGCTGCAGCTTGAGGTTAACTATTTTTTCCTGAATGTGATTCAGATAAAATCCTTCACTTAATGTTACCTGGCTACACAGCAACAGTGGTCATGTTCTAGTGACAGATTTACTTCTAGCTAATCAGTATCATGCCTTTGAAAATCTCGGGGGAACTCAACTGTCAGGAAACGCATATAGACATATATAGGTATCGAATGAAAGGCCACCAGAATGTGACGCCTGATGCAATATTGTTTGATCATACACTGCAGCCAATTGTACAGAAGTGATGTAATGGATTTGATTTTTTCTCTCCAGATTGTGATAACAGATGTTGCTTAGAGTAAAACATTTTTGTATTTCTTTTAATCAGTTGCTCCAACTGAATAAATATCCGTAAACTGAATTTTTAGGTCATACAGTTACCTTGTGTACAAGTCTTTACCTCATAATCTTCCATTTCAGGACTGGCAACTTTTCGTCAGACCAAATGAATTCTACGACATCCTTCATGACTTGGAAAAGAGGTTGGTATAGCTAGAGTCAGTTACAGTTATTCTCAGCACGTTTTGGCAGCATTCGGTCCCCTTCTTTTACAATTGTCCAAAAATAGTTCCTCTTCCTCCATTCAGAAGCGTTATGAAATTGTTGTCTAAATAGATTTTGCATCTAAAATACTCTGTTAGATGGAATGCCTAACAGAGGTTTTCTTCAGAGAGTAAATATTTTAGTCTTGCTTAGATATTAAACATATATACAGGGGGCTCGGTAGTCTAGTTGTAGGATGCCAGGTTCGTGATCGAACGTTTGCAGTTCCGAGTCGCGTCACGGCACTGTGTTGTATCTTTGAACAAGAAACATTACTCTGCTTGTTCCGGTCTACTCGGCTGTAATCGTCCTCAAATGACCATAGCTGTTGATAGGACGTTAAACAATACTAAACCAAACCAAACTAAACTCAGCTGTAGATGAGTACGTGGTTGGGCAGTGCTAGATTTGTTGAATGCTAGCTGTGAGTGCTGAAATGGCAACACCAGCTGTGAATCGCTTTGAGATGACCTACAAACTAGGTCGTGATAAAGCGGTATGTAAGGCCAAATAAAAATATACCTGTATTTCCTGTTTCTCCACCGACCCTATTTTTTCATGCCAACCCTAATACATTTTATTTATTTTTTTACAGTCATAGTTATGCATTTATTAGCCTTTTAATTGATTTAAGTGTGCATATTATTTGCTATGAATTTATTAACCTTGGCTCGTGTTCAGTGTCAGAATTTTATTTGATAATAGTGGCTAAGTAGACGTAGATAATTTTGGTAATGAAATAGGTTGGGATCTGTAGATTAGTGTGACCATCTGTAGTCTAGGTGTGTGTGGGGGGGG